AAAAGTACAATTAAAAGATTGTATTAAGTGTTAAATGTGACGCTCAAAAATATTGATAATATCTCCTCTAACTTTTCAAATTATTGTAGATTAAAGTAATTTAATATTTCCCCCCTCTTTTATTATGATTTTAAGCCACTTGCACACAAAAATAAAATAGGCAACACTTCCTTTAGGCAAACAATGTTAGTTGCTTTTTAAAAACAATAAAATAAAATAGATTTGTAAAAATGTCACTGTAAATGTTTGGCAGATAAGTGTCCTTTCCATGAATTTCTTCATTTTAGCCTGGAGCAAATAGTGTTTTCTGTATTAAAATCAATGTGTGTTCATATTTTTACACCAGAACAACCAGTGTGTTGTAAGAATGGTTCTAAAATCTTGCTTAGCTGCTCTTCTTGTCAAGGACACACCAATGACAACTTAGTTCACATCCTGCTCAGGCTCTGATGATGTTTCCTGTTGTTTGGTACTATTTTGTAAAAACTTTTATCAAGGAAATACTGATAGGAAGAAATAAATACAAAATAATAATAATAATAAAAAAAAAAGTTTCCAGTCAAGCCCATGAAACTATGGTGATAAACGGTTGGTCATTGTACTTTCAGTTTTTCACTCTTCTGAAATTTATTGTATTTAAAGATGTACTAGCCCTCTAAATAGTGAGGCAATGCCTACTTGCTGAAACATGCATGTTACCTAAAATGAAGATTAATTAAGAGGGCATAGAAGTTTGCTAAAGGTGGGTGTTATGGTGTAAGAGTTTAAACTTTTTTGTTTTTGTAATTTTTAAATGAAAAAAATTGCAAGTTTAAAGCAAAATGAAATAATGAAAAGCATTAAGTATACCACTGCAAATGTATTTTTTTTAGGATACTTTTTTTTATTCACTGGTATATGATCCATCACTGAAAACGCTTTTAGCAGACAAGGGAGAAATCCGAGTGGGACCTCGATATCAAGCAGATGTACCAGACATGCTTACAGAAGGTAAATATATTTTGGTCTTTGACTGTTCAAAAAACCCAGTATATCACATTACTATATCTGTAGGCATTCAGTGGTGTGCTTGGCACCTTCCACAACAGAGGAAAAGTGAAAACCTATCCTAAGAAACAGACAGACTATATATTAGATGTGATGAGAAAACAGGAGAGAGAAGATAGAATACTTATGAAGTGTATCTTGTTATACTCCTAGGATTTTTTCAAGTCATGATGTAGAAAGTAATATTTTTATTTTTATTATTTGCCTAATTGTGTAGATCAGTAGGCTACTGCACACGAGCATCACAGAACAGTTTCTTATGATCCCATATTTTAGACTGAGTAAACCAGAAACAGTACAAAAGAAAAATGTGCTCTTTGTCCGTGACCTTCTCTTTGTAAGTATCAACTTGACCAAGGTGAAAGAGTTATTTATAGTATTGGGGTCTGCTTTGTAGCAGGATTTCAGGCTGTGGAACACTTGGAAATTATGGAACCTCTTTGTCTCGCTCATCTAGCTGGATTATTTTAAGAGCCCTATTCACTTTTCGCTATACATCAACTTTATTTTTTGGTTTATATACGTTTTACATATGGTATCTATTTAGAATGGAGTTGTCATGCAAGAGGTATGATTACTATTTATTTGCCTTCTATTTGTAATATGAATATATTTGCTTAAGAGTAGTTGTTCTTCAGTAAGGTTTGTGTTCTGATACGAGTTTATGCTCTTCATTTCATAAAGGAAATTATGTTTTTGGAGGGAGGGCTAGGACATAAATAGTGGTTTTCAAAACCTTGGTTATTCCTTCATTAATAAGGTAAGCAAATTCATAGCAGGAATAGCACTTGTATAATGTCAGTGGGAGTTCATCAGGCACAAGAAATGCAAGATTGTGCCCTAAATAGGATGTTAAACTGTTCTTTAATTCCTGCCAAGTGTGCATTTTGTTTTGTTTTTGAAACAAAGTCAAAGTTTATGTAATCAACTGTGTAATGGGAGAATGATTGATTGCTCTAGCAGGAGAGGCAGACTGATATAGATGAAATGTGGCAGATCACTGCATTATTATTAGGATTGTTTTATTTATTAGCTACTTGATAAAGTACGTGAGGAGTGCAGGCTTGCTACAAAACATGACAGGAATATGAAATAATGTATTTGTTCTGTCTAAATCTGTTCTAGGGACTTGGATAACTTGTTTGTTCTACAGAGATTCATACCATGAATGTTTTCAAGGGACTTAGATGTCTCAAATGTGCTATATAAAATACACAATATATAATTCAGTTAATGCTAATCTCTATAGACACATCTACATGTGCACTTTACTGCAGAATAGGGTAATTAACTCTGCAGTAAACCTTCACTGTCTTAGGGCTCAGTGAACTAACCCTGAGGTGGCTGGGCACACATCACAGACAGTACTGTCTTACAGCAGAGTAATTAACTGGGCTGAAATGCACATGTAGATGGTGACCGGGCAGGGGTGAGACTCCTGGCTGCTGCCTAACCACACAGCTCTACAGGTTATGCACTCTTGTGTCCCAGCCAGTCTCTCTGCCACCCAACACTACCATCTGAAGCCTGGAGCTGGACCCCTGTGCTCCCTGCCAGCTTGGGCCTGCTCTACCCTGGCTCAAACTGATGCTGTCCCAGTCATATGTGTAAAAGCTGCACCCAGGAGCAGCTTACTCTCGTTCAAACAGCTCCAGACTTTATTGCTTTGCCTTAATTTCATGGGTAGATGCACCCTGTGGGCTCATCCACACGAGTGTGCATGTGCATCTTGCAGCGTCTCAAAGCATGTGTGGGAATGAAAAAACATTCCCTGCGCTGCAAATTTGCAGCGCAGGGGCGGGGTTAAAAAAAAAAACATGGGGAAAAAGCTGGGCAGGGCCTGGCAAGTGGAGGCTCGGTCCTCCACAGAGACACTCTAGTAGCCTGCCAGAGCATCTCTATGGCTGGCACTCACCCCAGTGCTGAAGTACGTGCATGCCCATGCAGGGCAGGCAGTGTTCCGGTAGCATTCCCCCGCCTGCTGCCCCAACCCCCTAGATCACTGCTCTGCCTGGCCCCATCCCCCACCTGCCCCCCAAGCCTCCCGATCGCTGCTCCACCTGGCCCCATCCACCACCCGCTCTTCCATCCCCTCAGTTGCCACCTCACCCCCTGCCTGCCATCTGAGGCCTCCCAATTGCTGACCCAATTCCCTTCCTGCCCCCCAAAGCTTCCCCAATTGCTGCTGCACCCGGCCCCATCTCCTGCTTGCCTCCCAGAACTCCCTGAGCACTGCCCTGCCTGCCCCCATTCCCTGCCTGCCGCCTGAGCCCCCCCCATCACTGTCCAGCCCAACCCCATTCCCTGCCTGCCACCTGAGCCCTCCCAATTGTTGCCCTGCCTGGCCCCAGCATCCTAGCAATTAAACAAACAAAAAAAAGCCCCATGCCCACCAGCAGTAGCAGCTGCCATTGGGGTCAGTGGGGCCTCGTGCCAGAGCCCCCCCATGCAGCACGGGGCCCAGGTGACAGCCGCAGCAGCCCCAGCTGCCTGACAATGCGTGGAGCCATGCAGCGCCCTGTGAACCCTGGCCACACCTGCATGATGGAGCTGTGGCAATGCAGGTGCCAGGCAGCCGGGGCCCAGCTCCGCTGCCCTGTTCTGCGTGTGGGCGGCTCTGCCACAAGGCCCCAGTGATCCTGATGGCAGCTGCTGCTGCTGGTGAGTTTGAGGCTTTTGTTTTTTTAAGTCCCAGACTACTTAAGCTGGGTGGGGGGGGCAATCAGGGAGCAGGGATTGTGCAGGGAGGACTCTGCCATGTGGCCCCAGAGCCCCCACAGCTGCTGCTACAACTTGTGAGTGCGGGGCTTATTCTTTTTTTGTTTTTGGTGCCAGGGGTTGTGGCTGGGTGGGCCAGCCATTGGTGGGGCTGGGGGTGCAAGCAGGGGATGGGGCTGGGTAGGGATGCAAAAGGGGGGTGGGGAAGCCATCAGGGGTCTGCAGGAGCTGGCGGGGGATGAGGCCAGACAGGGAAGTAATCCAGGGGGCTGGGGGAACAAGCAGCGTGGGGCATGTGGGCCCTGCAAGGGGGGGTGGTGGCCATTGCAGGGGCCATGTGGCCACTGTTGAGGGGACCGTAACCCCTGTTGGGGAGCTGTAGCCCCTGTGGGGGGCAGTCCACGAGCTGTGCAGGGGGAATGTGCCCTGCAGGGGGCAGGGGACCCACCCTTCCTAAGCAGCACCCATCCATACTCCCCCCATGATCCA